GTCAAAAATTAATACCAATTTTTATTAAATGCTGAAAAAAAACATCACGTGATTAATGGATGACCGAAAAAATTGAAGTAAATAAATACGTATCTAATATTTTTCTAATATCTGACTGACGAACTAAATAAATTTCTTTTTTTTTACTGTCATAAAACTAATTTTTCATTAAAGTATACATAGAAGAGGTTCACTAAGTAGTAACAAACTTTTTAGAACTAGAATATCATTTCAAAGGAACCGAATGAAGAGTACCTAAAGGCTCATAGTCCGCACCTCTTGTTAACCAGAGGTCCACGGACCACCGATATAGATAAATAAATTACTTACAATGATTCTGCCCCAACCAGCTGCTCGGGCCTGTACATTACCACCGACATGTTCGAACTCGATCACGATAGGTCGTACTAGGTTTGTGAAGACAATATTAGTACTAGTATAGAGTACACCCAAGTCGTTCTTGATGGTGTTAGCCACGTAGTGCTGGTGAGTAACGTTGGATGATACCGCATACGTGGTACCACCTTGGTTCCAGTTGTTTGAGCCGACTACTATACGGAGATTGCTGAAATAAACGAGAACATCTATTAATATTCAATACTAATTATTTTTTCTTGATGAAAAATGCTTAAAAATCCACTTTGCCCCGAGGTACTCTGAGATAGGACTCGAACCCGCGATCTTTCGCAATCTAGGCGACTGCTCTAACCACTGAGCTACCTTATACGCTTGTAAGTAGCGAAAAAAGTGCTCGAAAGATTCGTCAGTACCTGGTTAGCTCGGTAGTTAGAGTAGTCCCCTGAATATTATCATACTACATAATTTTTATACGTACCTGTTGAGACTTCCAAAACTGAAGACTGCAGCGATGCAGTGAGCGGCAGTGAGAACAGTCCTTTGTGTGATTATGGAACCACCGCACACCAAACTATTGAAAAAACCGCTAGTCATGGCGGCCATGTGAGGGTGGGCGCCCCCGGGGGCAGCGATACCTCCCACAATACGGTTCTGGGCATCTGGATTCACGTGCTCGAAGAACTGACTGAAGTCCGTATCGGGAGTTGGCAAAGCTGCGTTTAATAAATTAATCATATATCATCTATTATAAATATGACGTTTAATCTTCGAAACGTACAGCCGGATTTTAATATATCGATACCCTAATTTTTATTTTACTACGTATATTTATTTCTCGATAAAACAGATAAATACCTAATACGTATATTTATCATATAGAGTTAACGTTAAGGATTGTTAAAGTTAATACAGACACAATCAAGTTACGGAAATAAGATAATGATAAATTGATGAATGGGGATTAAGATTGGCTACAATTATACATAGTGTAGTGTGTGCTTATTTACGTAAGACAATAATATATTGTACCGTATAACTTACACTCACAACTGTAATAAAAATAATTCTTATATAATTTCTTTTAAAATTACAAACGAACACCCTTATTAATAAGCTATATATTATTTAGTTGCACGTAGTTCTGTTCACATAATTTCAATGTGACTTCCAGTTCGAGTGAAAAAGACATAATACAAATAAAGATTATAAACTTTTACATACAAAAACTTTATACATTTCTTATTGGTAAGGCCGTAAAAATTTGTATTATTAATTTGAACAAGGCTTGCCAACTTCAACTTTGAAAATCGGGATGTAAAATTGGAAACCCAGGACAATTCAGTTTTAAAACAGGACGCAGTTATTTTTTCTTCATTCTCAGCAAAAAAGGTATAATTTTCAATAGATCTGACGTTAAAATTTTGAATACAATAAATATACACGTAGTAAAAACTTTGAGGCGAAGAAACTGATTTAATAACATATAACATTATTATACAGATAGGTCGATAAATGTATTCTCAAAATTTTTATATCACTTGATATTTTAAATAAGAACTAAATAAGTAATAAAAGAAACAGCTTACCCAGACATCCCAATACTAAGACGGCAAAGATAACACCAGATTTAATCACCATGTTGCGGAGTCCAAGGTATTTGAAAATAAGCACCTTAAAACCGATTCATATATACTTTTCTTTTATCTATGAACACAGATTAATTATTTAATTGCAACATGTGATTTAAAGATATTTTTTTTATTGATAAATAGTGTTCGAACGAATGTTCGGTTTCGGTTGAGTTTCGGCAAAATACGGGTTTCGGTTTCGGTGACAAACCAGCCGAAATTACGAGCGAAACCGAAATTGCATTCGAGCGTTCTCGCGCTCTGATCGGTTAGTTTTGTTTGGTGCATTGAATTCCATCTAATCGGCGACGAACAAATTTGCCGCGTCTTCGTGGCTAATTATGTCCTGATTGGATTGTGTTTCGATTATTGCCGAAACTCAGACTGTTGCCGAAGTTCGGTTTCGATTTCGGTCGGACACTACTGATAAGATAATATGATAGAGTACCGATCGGAGGATTGGGAATAACCCGTTAATTATGGTTGCACATACAATTGATGTTTTATACATACCTTTTTGTATCATATAAAATTGACATTTTTTATATAATTAATCGATACATGGCATGCTTGGTTAATATTTATATCATTGAAAACCGACGTGAAGCAACGCTTGCGTTGTGTTTCGTCGTGTGAGTGAGGGTACCGGAGGCCCAACCCCTCCCTATTCCTTTCCCTCTACCCCTCAACCCTTCCCCTCCCTATGATCATATTCGTCCCTCAAAGGCCTGCAGCGCGCTTGTAGCCCCTCTGGTGTTGCAAGTGTCAATGGGCGAAGGTAATCACTTACCATCAGGTGAACCGTCTTCTCGTCTGCCGCCTATCCCACATAAAAAAAAAAAATACTGCAACACAGCAAAGGGCAGATGTAATGCCATGCAGCTTTCTTTACCAGTCGACCAGTAAGGGTAAGGGCAATATAGGGCAATTCCAAGTCCTTTCGATAGGTTAAATTATACGTTCAGTCATCATCTATATTGATTGGAAATCAAACTTTACTAATATTATAATATTTTTAATAAAGCGGATGGTAGCGCATTAAGTAGAATGATTATGTGAATTGTTATTGCCAATTAACAACGGTAAAGAATAACAAATGAATTAAACAAATGTAATTTTATTTATTTATAAATAAACACCAACATAATGATATTGGCCAATAATATACATTTATAATTAAAAACGAATAAAGTAAGTATGTGTAAGTATAACTCCTTTAACAAGGAAGTTCTTTTAAGTAATTTAAAGCGGCATTTATTTACAACGCAAGAACTATTACCTAAAATTGTGTTTAGTAAAAAAATGTATAACTGTGTAATGGTATATGGTATAAACAAACGTTATTTTTTATTAATTAAATATGAAATAATAGGTATTGGACTTATATTAAATTTGCTATCCTAGACAATTTGCTGTAAAAGTGCTTATGAATATTTTTGAATTGATATTTTAAGGTTGGATGCCATTTATATCTCTAAATATTATGACCAGCCTACACACTTACAGAGCAGTTTATTATATTTTTACATATAATACTAAGACGATATTACAATGTTGATTTAAAAAGTTTCTTTTCGTGGCTTACAGTGTTTTATATATATTCTTATACATACATATACGACCTTAGGTATGATTACATGACCTACTTCTGATTTAAAACAAATCTGAAGATTCTTGAGACGACAATCAAATAAAAATAAGTATTATACACAGTTTTACTTAGCTGCGAAAATTAGCTAACATATTCAGACATAACCATATATGTCGAAGCAAAAAACTAATATTTTAATGATAACAAGAGACATTAAGATACAACTAACGTGGCTTGCAGACGTACCTGTGCAGAAGGCTGTATGTCGAGGTGGGGCACATCCTGGCCAAACAGAATAATTCAATAATCCGCACACCTGATCAACGCTAATGTGAGCGATAAAGTCACCTAAAGTATTGTATTTTACACCTTAAGGCTATTGAACCGAAATTTCATTATACATTTCCGTAAGTACGTTCTATTATAGTAAACATCGATTGGTCAAACGAAGATACAGCTTGGGCAATATTTTGTGAATATGATTCATTCATGCGTTTTATTATAATTATTTTTACGGGTAGTGTAATTTAGTACATTTATAAGACATTTTATCTATATATAATATTTAACAAGATATATGTAATATTTTTGAATGAATGCTATATATGTATGTAATTAAGGAAAATATTTTTTGTAAATACAAATATATTTTTTTTGTTATTATCCCCGCAAATTGCTAATGTGCCTGGCCGCCATTTTTGTGACGTAATTGCATTCAATATTAGTACCGTTAACAAATAAACACTGGTACTCTTATTGAGTTGGGTTGTGTTGAAATAACACAAAAAATTGTCATGTTTTCGTTGTTTTCGATTGGTATTGTTAATATTTGTCGTTACTTGTTGTTTGACTAAAATAGCAACTGCTAATATGATTTTCACAACGAGTAAACTTAATTAAACTAAAAATCGAATGTCTCTCATTCCATTATTACTTTTTGCTTTGTTTAAAAAAAAAGTCCTTTCCGTTTGTTATAAAATAAAACGACATATTTTTTTACTTTCCATATACCTCAGTATTTAACAAACTAAAAGTTATAAAACTATTTTAACAATATTTTGGGGGTTATTTATATCTCAATAATTAATAAATATTTTGTCACTTGCATTTTGTGCTATCTTTACTTTCTAAAATGAAATTATTTAGATAAAGTTCTAGCGCATTAGCTATTTACGGGATTTATAATTCTAAGTTCAATGTTTCATCACGTGACACGTTCAAACGATCACACGAGCTTCCGTTAACCTTATTATAATATAAAACATCGAAATATTGATATACATTTTACTTAAGTAAAATAAAAGTATTCCATTGACTGTTAACAAACATCTCGTGAACGAAATAATGTCCTTTCAACACCAGTCGTGGACACAGTCTCCATGACAATGGGACCGTGTCACATATCCACAGGACAAAGACCTCAATCATCTAAGCAAAGTCTCTATCTTACTCAAAGCATCTACGCTCAAGTTGAATCTTTCCAAGTCCAAAATAACACTCAACTCGTTATCACTGGAGACATTTCTCAAAACACCTTTAGGTAAATCGTGGAACACCAGATAAGAACTGAGTATTTTTCTCATATCATCATCGCACGAACTTATCTTTCTACTACTGGGTAAACCTAAATACTTGCGTAAATAAGGTATAATCTTGATCTCCCATCCATCGAATATGTTGGAAACTCTTTGTTTTATTGCTAATGTGAACTCTGTCGATATGAGTGGCTCGTTCTGGACGTCCTGTCCGTCCACTTTCATTTCGTCCATTATTCGCCTGTTGTGGTTCTCTATTTGTGACAGTAGCATTTTGATTTGCCACATGTGATATGTCGAAGGGTCAGTTTTCATAGTTTTTACTATCTGAAAATGTTATAGAATTTTGATATTTTACTTAACTTTATGAAGAGCAAATATTGTACTACTATCGTTATCGCTTTTTAATAAATGTATATTGATAAAGATTAGAGTAGTTTTTTTCTCAATAGGTAATATCACGTAAAACTCAGCATAAATGACAGCACTACCACATATAGTAAACAAACAAACTTTTTCGGGCAATGGGAAATGAATAATTCCCTTCCTTTTTACATCCAAATATACAGCAAGTATGTCTTATTGGATAAAATTTAATTCGTCTTATCACAAATTTAAAAAAAAATCTCATTTACAAATTACTCTTTGCTCACTACTCTGTGAATGACGTTTGCATTAAAAAAAAAAAACTTTTTTTTATCACAGAAAGTAGCAGTAATACGTATTTTTATTATTTTGCTAGTCAATAAGTGATCCAAAACTATATTTACCTTCAAGAACGTTGTCCATATAGGTAAAGCACATAGTATATCTTTGACTACACATTCGTACGTAACCATACTCAATCCTTGTATGTGCTCCTGTTCTTCCTTACTGTATTTTCTGCACAAACACTGTTTCGTCATAAAAGGTTCGTTCTTAACGCCCTTCCTCTTTTTGCTGACGAGTAAGCAGTCGGCACAAATGTTGGCAGCAACGATTAGGTCTTTTGACAGATAATGTTTGACAAAACTCCTCACTTTGTCGTCATTGGTGAACAGTTCAATATTGTCCGGTGCTGATGACCAAATATTGCTCTTATCCAAGGTCAAAGTTTGTGCCAAAATGGTGAGGAAACCTTGCGGGTCGTCCAGATATGATAAGCATCCGGCGCGCTGTTTTATATCTATACACCAAGTGTACTCTAATAGAGTTCTGGAAAAGATAGTTGTAATTGCATTAAAATATACTATTAGATGGATTTTTATGTAAAACACAGGTATAAATTGTGATGTGGGACCGTTGTCAAAATTGTACATTGCAAGACTTGGGATTTTCTATTTCATGGTAAAAATTTTAATACAAGATTCTACAATCAATAATATTTTTTGTTAGACTCATTCTGTCTTATTTATGTAAATATTTTACAATAAATTAATATGCAGATCATTAGGAATATTTCCAAATATTTTGATAAATACAATTATAATATGTATCTATGATAATAAATTTACAAAAGTATTTCCAAATTACGTCACTTCTATTGAAAACCTTGCCTAGTCAAAACTTAAAATTCAAATGATCATATCTCCTTGTATAATAACCAGTATTTAAAATTACATTATTATCGCAAAAACATTTTATTCGAGAGTATCTAGGATATAATTTAAAGCACTTAGATATTAAGTATAATTATTCGACTATGCAAACAGTTGTTGTAAACAATTTTTTAATAAGTATGAAAAACAAACTCCTCCGAAAACCTCTATTTCACAAGAATTTAAACGATATACACAGCATTACTACTTTGATGTTTGTGTGTAGTCATCTTTTCTATTTTGATATATATACATATATATCACGTAGGTATATATTTTCAATTTTTGTTGTTTCAAAGTCCATAACTATATTTTAAATTAAATGAAACTCTATGACATGTGTTTATAATCTTTTAGACGATAAGTGATAATTTAATCAATTCAATTCGATAAAGGAATTCATTACAATTCACTGCTTAATGAAACCGAACACTTATCGGTAATAGTTCACTAAACCGATTATCAAAAAAACGTGATGTCGTATTAATAAATCCAGTATATTGTTACAACGATCCTTTAGATTATATTGACGAGACATATTATTATATAAAAATATTATTTTTGGAATTGCAAGATTACAATTTTAAGTCAACTAACTGACTTACAAACACAACTGAAAATACTGAACGGAATTAGATGGAAAAGCCGTACTATGCCCACTACCGGGCATCTGCCTCTCCCATGACTTTTTATTGTCTAGGGACTGGACTAATAGTTATTATGACATAACCGTATTTAACCCTCTTTGGGGTAACATTTTAAAATCTTTTATCTTCTCTTCTCTTTAAAAGAGGGTTAAATACAGTTTGAAAATAAAGAAATCCAAGTCGCAGGTAAAAAGCTAATTTGACGCAGATAGAAAGTAGTGCAATAGAATTAGTTGACTTATTTCTTTATATTCCTTTTATCACCCCTGATACAAAGTTTTTTTAAATAAAAAGCAAGCAATTTGATTTATTGCAAAAATTCAATATTTCATACGCTCAAAACCTCAGTATGTAAAAGATACAAATTCATTTCTAACGTCACAACGTTAATATCTCACGAGAATAAAGGGCACAGAATGCTTTTGCATTTTAATACTTCAAGATTATTTTAGTATCGTATAAAAATTAAATAATTTCATCTACACTCAAATCGAAAAATTCGAATTACGAATTCAAAGACGATTCTATACAAACGCACTTTATAAACGCATATACACAAAATTAAAAATATAACTCATTATAGTACCGCCAACTGTATCATAAAACTCATTATAGTACCGCTATCTTTTTTTTATCATTAAACTAGTCTTTCTCAAATCTTTATTTAGTAATACTCGTACTTGTGAATGTTTCTGTTTCTATTTGAATTAACAGAACAACAAGTTTCTATCATCACGTAGTACTTCAAAATTCTGCCATAGTGTTAGAATATAACGGAAACAATTAAGTTAGTCCCTACTGATAGATATCTTGAACATTTGAGGTTTACTTTACTATGACAAAACTGGCAAGATGCATTTATCCGACCGCAATAGCAATATGCGCAAACGCATAAGCGGAAAAGCTAATGTAATGCCGGGTATTTGTTCGGCGACAGGACTATAAGTGTAACAACCAGTTTACGAATTGAGAATCGTACAAAAATCTCAACTGATTTTTCTCAATAACTTAAGTTTTTTACGTTTCACATGGCAAAAAGATTAATTTTGATAAAACTATAACTTTTTTACTTCAATAATTTTTTAGTTTCCGATATCAGTTTTTTTTAATGATTAATGTAATTAGCAGCACGAAAATATGTTTAAGTGACGTTTTAGTATAATTTTAGACAAGTCAGAGACCAGGTGTAAGTCTGTTATATCTTAATATAAATATGGAAATTTTTACTTACTTTAACTGGTCCCAGTTCCGATCTCGTTGAAATGTGATAGGCCAATACCTGACGTCGTTTATCTTAACCTCTCTCAACGTGTCCAATTCCGGTATAATACATGGTGCCTTCATGTCTTTTACGATCCCTTGTAAATCTATGACCTATTGGAAAAATGTCTAGTTTACATTCTACTCAAAACGAAGCCTTACATTTTCTGACAATTGTAATGTATAGAATCAAAAGCTTATAATTATTAATTAGTTGTTATTTTGCCATAAAGATGTTTACAACTTTGTTGCTTAGTTCTCTGCTATTAAAACATACATGAAACTATGTAAAAATTTAATGATCAATTTAAGATGTTTAAAAAAAATTGTTGGAATCTGTAATATATAAACAACCGCATTTTACTAAATGCATAGTATGTATATCAGAAAACTTTTTTAAAATTTTTGTCTGTTTGTTTGTTCCGACTTATCTCCGAAACGGAGAATTTTGACGGGGTCTTTCACAAGCAGTTAGCTTGTGTAATAAGGGGTAACTTAGGCTAATTTTCACGCGGACGAAGTCACGGGCACAACTAGTTTTTACTATATTTGTAGTACCGCTTACCTGTATGTGTGCATAACATAGATTTCCAGTGGTTAGATCACGTGGTAATATCAGTCTTGGTTCCACAGCCAACACGTATAGATGTCTGAAAGCTTGTAGGTGGTATCTATAACAAATTTATAAGAAAATTTAAACGATAAGAGGTGATAAGAAGTACACACCAAGTCAACTAATTGTATATAAAAAAATAGTCAACATCATCAGCCCTCGTATTATGCAGTATCTGATATAAACTTTTGTTTTCTGATGTTTTTTTTTTTAAGATGGCGACACCATGAAACGGTGAAGAGTTGTTCACAGATAAATGAATTAAAAAAAAAACAGTAAAGCATAAAAAACAAACAAGAGGAAGGACACACAAAGACCGCAAAAACGATAAGATGTATTAGCTATTTTAAAAAATGCATTTAAACTTTTAAGGTAGTTGTATACGATAGAAATTTTGAATACATTTATAAAGGGTAGGTACATACCGATTATCTTCACTATGTGTTGGGAATTTAGGAAAGAATGCTGCCAGTAACGCAGCTATTGACGTGGGAGTTGTGCTCAGTGTTGCTCTACCTTCACCCAAAAACAGCAGTCCTATGGTACAATGGACTGCCATCTGTAATTCATTATAAATCAAAATCATTTATCTAGTCTCGTATGTTACGAAGCATTTATAAAAGTCGAAACACTATGCCATCGGTTCCTAAGTTTATGGCGGGAGAGAGCTCCCTGTTAAATTCATAAAGAGTCGTAAATATAGAAAAATTACTACTTTAAAATGTGATAATACTATTTTATCGAATAGTTGTTAGTATTGATATCAAAATAATAACATCTAAAATAATAACACAATGGGTCTGTAAATACAACTAGCGCCATCTCTTGCATTGTACATGAATCTGTTGTCTGCTACCTATGGTTTGATTGACATATAATAAATTTCATTCTGTCAAAAACTGCCACACGTGTTTTCTATAATCCTTTAGGTTATGGGCCCAGTGAAGCTCAAATTTATTATAAAATACGCATAATAGTTTGTTGTTCTTTCGTAAAAAGTAAAAATGTCGTCGTCAGGCTATCTAGCAAATGTGCCGAAACTAAAAGGACGCGAAAACTACGATGATTGGGCGTACGCAACTAGTAATTTTTTATTACTAGAGGGTATCGACATTGAAAATGTACCAGTGGACATTTGTGAAGTCGAGATGAAGAAAGCCAAAGCCAAGCTCGTGATGACGATTGACTCTTCATTGTACGTACACATCAAGACCGAGACTACAGTGAGCAGTGTATGGAATAAATTGAAACAATTGTTTGACGACAAGGGTTATCAACGAAAAATAAGCCTATTGCGAACATTAATTTCAATACGCTTAGAAGGCTGTGAATCCATGACTACTTATGTGTCTCAAGTAGTTGAAACGGCACAAAAATTGAAGGGGACAGGTTTTGAGATAACAGATGAATGGATTGGCTCGTTACTTTTGGACTCCCAGATAAGTTTTCACCAATGATAATGGCGATTGAGCATTCAGGAATTTCCATTAGCGCTGACGTCATCAAGACAAAATTACTCGACATGTCTGAGGGGGTTGAGACTACTGAAACTGATTCTGCATTATGGTCAAAACATGGTTTCAAAAGTGGCAAACTACGCGCGGTGTAAAGTTTTTAAAAAAAACGGGTACAACGTCGAACGAAATGTCATTATCTAATAAACAAATTAAGTGCTATAATTGTAAGAAAATCGGACATTATAAGAATAAATGCCCTGAATTAAAAGCAAATAAACCTGTGAATGCTTTTAGTGCTACTTATTCCCAAAGGGATTTTAATACAGAGGACTGGTACATAGATTCAGGAGCTAGCTCACATATGACCTCGAATGAGAAAAGTTTGTCAAAAGTTGAACGAGTACATGAAACCAAAGAAATTGTAGTCGCAAACCAAACGACTATGGCTGTATCAAGTGTTGGTGAAACACATATCAAGACAAGTGTGAACGGTTCTCAGTATGACGTGATTGTAAAAAATGTTTTATACGTACCAAAGTTAACTACAAACTTACTGTCAGTAAGTCAGTTGATTGCTAATGGAAACAAAGTAGTATTCAAGAAATATGTCTGTCTGATATATAATTATGCGAATGAACTAATTGGGTTAGCAAATTTAACCAACGGTGTTTACAAATTAAATACAATAAAGTCAGAGAATTGTTTGTCTGCGATGTCAATCTGGTATAGAAGACTCGGACATATAAATAGTAAGTCATTGCAAAAAATGAATGATGGAGCTGTAGAAGGGGTTTCTTTTGACAAGAAAGCTGACATAAAGATTCACCATTGTGAAGTATGTTGTGAGGGAAAACAGACACGTTTTCCATTTCCATCTGGCAATCATAGAAGTGAAAATCTACTGGATGTAGTACACTCTGATTTATGTGGGCAGATGGAGACCAAGTCAATTGGTCAATCTAGGTACTTTCTTCTATTTGTGGATGATGCCAGCAGAATGACTTTTGTCTACTTCTTGAAGGAAAAGAACCAGGTATTCCAGCATTTTAAAGATTTTCTAAGTTGAGAATCAAACAGGATACAAATTAAAAAAATTGAGAACTGACAATGGAGGTGAGTTTTGTTCACATGAGATGGAGAGCTTTTTAAATCGAGCAGGTATTATCCATCAGAAGACCAATCCTCATACTCCTGAGCAGAATGGTCTCTCAGAGAGGTTCAACAGGACCATAGTTGAACGGGCGAGGTGTTTACTGTTTGAAGCTAATCTTAACAAAAGTTTCTGGGCTGAAGCTGTAAATACGGCAGTGAACTTAAAAAATAGGACTCCGACAGCCAGTTTAGGTATGATAACACCATTTGAAAGGTGGACCGGTAATAAACCAGATTTAAGCCATGTTCGAATATTCGGCAGTAAGGTAATGATGCATATTCCCAAAATACAAAGACAAAAATGGGACAAGAAGTCTGATAAATTGATTTGAGTAGGTTATCCAAATAATGTCAAAGGATACAGACTGTATAACCCGAGAACAAAAAAAAATACTATGAGCAGAGATGTTATTATTATGGAAAATAAGGACCCAGATACAGCTCAGATAGTAATAAACAATATAGAAGAAAATAAAGAAGAAAAGTCAGATAAAAATGATAACTCAGATGGTGAAGACAGTTCATGTGAAGAAACAGTTATAAATGAAAGTGAATGTACTTATATCTGTGATTCATCTAGCTCCCAAGAAGATTCATATCAATCCATTGCAGAAGAGGAAAATGAGACTATCAAACAGGAAGGAATTCAGATTAATGATATTGGTAAGCGTAACAGGAAACCAGTAGAAAGATATGGCATGACTAATCTATGTATTTTGGATGAAATGGACACATGTGGAGTAGATCTTAGTTATGAAGCTGCGATGAATGGACCAGAGAGAGAACAGTGGAGACAGGCAATGACAGAGGAACTGAAAGCTTTTGAAGACAACCAAGCATGGGAATTCGTGGATAGAAAAGAAGCTAATAGAGTGGTCCAGTGCAGGTGGGTTCTCAAAAAGAAACTTCACAATAACAATGAAGTAAGATATAGGGCAAGATTAGTTGCAAAAGGTAATACTCAAAAAGAAGGTGTGGACTATACTGAAATTTATTCGCCTGTGCTTCGTTATTCTACATTGAGACTTTTATTTGCATTAAGTCTTAAATTAAATTATCAAATTATCCACTTGGATGTAACAACAGCCTTCTTAAATGGCTACCTTAGTGAAAATGTTTTTATGGAAATTCCACCTAATTTAAATTGTGAAGAAAATAGAGTTCTGAAATTGAAGCGTGCTATTTATGGTTTGAAACAATCTGCTAGAGCTTGGAATGAAAGAGTTAATGAGTGTTTATTGAAATCCAACTTTATTAAATCAGAATTAGAACCATGTTTATATATAAAAAAATATAAAAATGAGCAAATAATAATAGCTACTTTTGTAGATGATTTTTTTATTTTTTCAAACAGTAGTAATAAAGTAAATGAAATAAAAACTGAACTCATGTCAAAATTTAAAATTAAAGATTTGGGGCAATTAAAACAGTGTTTGGGTATGAGAGTAAAAATGTATGATAATGGTTGTATTTCTTTAGATCAAGAGAAGTTTGTGGATCATTTAATATGTAAATTTAATATGGAAAACTGCAATGTTGTTGACACTCCCATTGAAACTAATTTAAAATTAGAAAAAAGTGTAGAAGTTCATAAACAGTATCCATATCAACAACTACTTGGTAGTTTAATGTACTTAAGTGTTTTAACTCGCCCAGATATATCCTATAGTGTGAGTTATTTGAGCCAATTTAATAATTGCTATTCTCTAACACACTGGAAGCATGTAAAACGTATCTTAAGATATTTATATAAAACTAAATCTTATGGACTCATGTTTACTAAAGACAATTGTAACCTAGAAGGTTTTGTTGATGCAGACTGGGCATCAAACACTATAGATAGAAAATCATATACAGGTTTTTATTTTAAGTTGTCAGGTACAGTAATATCGTATGAATGTAAGAAACAACAGACAGTAGCTTTATCTAGTACGGAAGCCGAGTATATGGCAATAGTGGAGGCCTGTAAGGAAGCTATATATTTTAAAAATTTGTTATCTGAAATTTTAGATTTTTGTAACTATACAATTATATTATACAGTGATAATCAGGGTGCTCAGAGGCTGACAGAAAATTCGTTGTTCCATAAAAGAACTAAGCACATTGATGTGCGCCACCATTTTATTAGAGAAGCGGTGAGAAAGAATCTTGTTAAGATAGTTATCTGCCGACATCTGAAATGCCTGCAGATCTTTTAACAAAGGGCTTGAGTAGTATAAAGCATAAGTATTTTGTAAAAAAAATTAGGTATTCAAAGCATTATTTGATATGTTGATTAACTGCCTTTTTTTTATAACGTTATTTCTTTTTAATATTATCCATTCGATAATGGACAGTTAAGATTATTTTGATAAGTGGAGGTGTTAGTATTGATATCAAAATAATAACACAATGGGTCTGTAAATACAACTAGCGCCATCTCTTGCATTGTACATGAATCTGTTGTCTGCTACCTATGGTTTGATTGACATATAATAAATTTCATTCTGTCAAAAACTGCCACACGTGTTTTCTATAATCCTTTAATAGTAACACCAAATATATTTTTACTAAGAAAGTCAATCTGTAAAGTTTACCATTGAAAAAATTTTAGCACACGACAGTCAAAATCGAACTAAAAATAAAAGAAATAAATAGAAAACATTCAGTTTTCGTTGAAATAGCCTTTAGGTGTTATGTTTTTTTTAATACCCAGCCAACATCTCTAGCCGTGACACTGCACCCCACTCAGTAGCAGACCTTCAGGTGTTATGTTAATTTGTACGAGTAGTAATCGAGTTATTCTAAAAAAAAGTCGTAGGGTATAAACAAACCTGTCCGCCGTGCGTGAGGGCGGGGGCAGATGGTGTGGCGGGGGTGGAGGGGACGCGGGCTCGCAGTCGACGACACAACCGTAACACAGATATGTCTCCGCGACCCGCCATTATCTAAAACCAGGGTTCGCTGATAAATATCAACAGATATATACCATGACCCGCGACTTCCTCCGCGTGGTAAAGTTACTTGTGTACAATACCTGAAATAAAGTTTCATTCCCTATTTTATCCCCTTAGGGGTGGAATTTTTTAGATTTTATTTCTTTCTTAGGGGATGCCTACGTCATAGTAGCTTTATGCATGCAGAGTCTCAGCCCGATCGGTTTAAAATTGACAGTTTCATACAAACTTTCATCCCCTTGGGGGTAGAATTGATTAAAATTCTTTCTTAGCGGATGCCTACGTCATAACATCTCTTGCATGCCAAATTTCAGCCCGATCCGTCCTGTGGTTTGGGCTGTGCGTTGATAGATCACTATGTCAGTCAGTCACCTTTGAGTTATATATATTTAGATATACGTTGTTATATAGCAATTGATATTCTGAGTTTGAGTAATGAGTCTCAGCTAGAAAATTAACCAACCAGATGTGAAGCTAGAAATTTCAGGTTTTCTCCTATACGTTTCTTTGTAATTTTTTTATAATAAATAAACAAATATTAAATAGCTCAAACTGCATCTTTATTTTACACTTATGAAATTAAGTCTGAGAGATAATATGATATTTGTTGTGCGTGTGTGTTAATTTTATTTTTATCAGTTTTTAATATAAAATGATCCAAACAGTTTTTTTCTCTAGCAGGTACAAAATGTCCCGGTAGTATACCATGTGTATATAACATATTTAGATAGTTAAGTCTGTTTAGCCTTTTTCATTATGTTTATATAGGTATTATATTAATGTGGTTGTATTATATTAACGTGTCATCGAACGAAAGAGTTCAAGATATAATCTTTTGGTCACCCATGATCTTAAATATTTAATATAAATAAATATAAATATTTTAAATAAATAAATATTTTAACAACATCACATACATTGCTCAGATTCCAAGATGAGTAGCTAAAGCCCCCGTATTATGGAGTATCTGAGGCAACGAAGATCACACAACACCCAGATCCGAGACAATATAGAAAAGTTCATTTTCTACATTAACCCGACCGGGAATCGAACCCGGGACCTCAGAGATGGCGACACCTTGAAACCGGCGTGCGAACCACTTGGCTGCGGAGGTAAAATGTAACTCTTGCGAAAGTAAACCCCCGCATCGCAAACCGTACGTATATTGTACTGGTGAGCTGCGAGACCTCGCTGCGGGGTCTACCGCGTAATCAAATCCATCTCATATAATTGTCATTGTCTTCGAATTAAATGTAGCTAAATTTGAAATTACCCGCTTAGCCTAAAACATTCGGCTAGATACGTAATAGAGCAGCTATGTGTAATTATAAAGAAAATGAAGCTATAAGCATAAAACAAGATACACACAAACAATCGGTAAAGCATTTTTATCAAATCACTATTCCTCTCAGTTTTACACGTTTTGTGTGTTGAACAGAATATGTAAAAAATCAGTTGAGCTACGTTTATTTGTGTAATATACGAACGTGATTTTATTTAATAACTATACATGTTTTGGCGCGCTTCTGAATTAAATGTACATTTTCCGCATTTCGAAATTTAGCTTTCTTCGCAGGTACATCGATGAGATGTACTTGCGAACATATCACTTGTGTTTTTAATGTAACATTTGAACACTCACCATGCCAGCGGCCAACAAACATACACACAAACATGCTTCGAGCGTAGACCGCCCGGCCAACTCGGCGACACTTTTACCGCCCAAGGCTAGGAACAGTCTCGCGTAATGTAAGACCGCATCTCTAGCATCCTCATCGCCGGATCCGGCGAATCGGAGGCCCACGGAGAAACAAGCACCGGCTATTATGTTGCAATACGCTTGGCTGCAATTTAATTAGAGATAGATAGATAGAATATTCTTTTGCACACACAAAGACAAAATACACTTATATGACAAAAACAGACGCGACGACAATTGGCGGCGTTATAACCAGTGGTCGGAACGAGGTAGAGTTATTCATGTACTTACACTGATTTCACACAGCGAAAGAATAAAGTGGATATGCCTCAAATCCCGAGATTAATTTTAAAGAGCAGAAAAAATCCCGTGATTTTTTTTAATAAAAAGTTATTTACTTTTACACAATTTAAACTACTGCACGCACGATGTTGCCAAACTTACATCAATGACATCGGATGTCCAAAGATGTCCAAGATTGTCCATTAGAAATCCCGGGAAGGTCCACATTAATATCAACATTTCGATGCAAGTACATAAATAACTCTACCTAATTCCGACCTCTGGTTATCATTAATAGTGATCTGTTCCAGGCAACCTTAAAAATATATTTTCATTAATTAACTCAATGGCGTAGTGGTTAGCGTGATCGGCCTGTGACACAGTTGTTAAGTAGCTTTCGTAAGGTTCGGTCATAGGATGGGTGACCAAAAATTTATTATCTCGAGCTCCTTCGTGCTTCAGAAGACATTTTAAGGCATCGGTCCTGGATGCATCCGCAGCCGTTAACAACCACCAATCCGCGCTAAGCCCGCGTGGTGGGTCATGACCCATTCTCCCTATTCGATTCCATCTATAAGGAAGGCCTGAACGCCAGCAGGGGAGATATTAATAGGTTGGTGATGATTGATATTTAGAATTTTATTAATGATTTTAACAAATAAAGTATTCAGACAGTTAAATAATTAAAATCCATAAACTCACTTCATGGCTTCATAATCAATGTGATCCTCAGTTGGCTTCACAAAACAGTACGGCTTTATCGTGGAAGGCACTTGATCTTCAATCCATTCTTCGCTCGCCTCTATACTGTCCCATAACACTAACCCTAGAGAAAATGTAAAATTAATGTCAAAATTTTCAAAAGTATGAATAATTGAGATAGTCAAAAAATTCATAATAATTAAATATTGTAGATTAACAATTGAAAAAAAAAAGCGGTAAAATAGTAATACCAATTCTACGTACTTTAGTATAACGTTATCGTGTCAGTTCCAAAATGTCGCCATCTCATAAGTTCCGGGTCCGATTTCCAGCAGGGAAATAAATAAACAGAAAAGTTTCAATGTCGTATAAACATTTGTAACAGCAGCTTTAGCATGAAACATCAGAGTTCAAAACTAATCCGTATCGAGCACAAACTTCAAATATTTGTATAAGAAATTTTACCTGCCTATATGCAGAGAACGTGTATGCCAGTGCTTTCTAATTTCTATAATATTTACGCTAAGCTTTATGAGTAATAATTTTAATGTGCCAACATAATTCCGTCAAGACGACAGCAAATATCTACAATTACTGTTGAATTAAAAAAGCGATAAAATATTCCGGTTATTAAATTGCAATAAGAAAGCTTATAAGGTTGCATCTTTAGCTATATAGTTTTTCTGTCTAAAATCCTACCCTTATATATCTTAGACATTATGTAAGTAGGTGGCGCTGCGATTTCAATACAAAATCTTTACATAATGTGCCGATACAAATTAGATTAGTATACGATATTTTCACGTTACGGGCAATGATTTCCATAACAGAACTGCGTAACTTCTTCCCTCGGAATCTAAACAGGTATGTTGTGTCTAATAACTATTAATTTTATATAATCACCTCTAGATATAATCCTTAACATGAGTAGATCAGGTCTCACGAAGTCCAATTGGTAAGCAGTTGTTGGTGCTTGAAGCCAACTCGCTAAAGCGGCATTGTTCGATCGAAGGTAAATTAAGCCTAAAGCTACTGTAGCACCTGGTGACGTCACATCTAGATTCACCGTTTGACCTTCTCGAATAGCGAAAGAGCCTTGTTTGTATTTCTCCTTTTGGGCACCTGAAGATCATAATTTAATACTTTAAAAACAGGGCTCTGATAATTGTTTAAGTTCACCATCACCAGCCTATTAATACCCCACTGCTCGGGCTCAGGCCTTCTCTCAAATTCAGGAATCAAATCAAATCGAAGAGAATGGGCTATGACCCACCACGCGGGCCTAGTGTGGATTAGTGGGTATTAACGACTGCAGTTGTCGCCGAAGCCAACGGATTGATGTGCATTCCGAATTGCGTTCGCGTTCCTTTTATTCGTTGCATGAGTTTTTAGACTATAGAAACTGAACGTTAGCCTGGGTGGATTGATCAGTGCTTATAATGTCTTCTTTTACTACATTTGCATGCTATTGTTAATGACTGAATAGGCGATAATTGTATTAACTTTTACATCTCTTTTGTATACCCTATGCAAACGCAAATAAATTATTATTATTATTGAATATGCATTCCGAATTTATGAGCAAAATTTTATTAACAAAATTTTTGGTCACCCATCCTATGACGGCCAGTACGAAAGTTGCTTAACAACTGTATTACAAACCGAGCACGCTAACCATTGCGCCATCGAGCTATCGCAACACCTTTCAAACTGCGGTGAATGCGATTAATATATTATGTATGATAAAGAAACAAAAAAAAAACCCGTAGAATGATTGCAGTTAGCATTCAAGTCTTTCATTTGACATTTGTCAATAGTTATCAAAGATATTCAATATCTTTCAACTAATCATAGCTTAAAAGTTCGTGAATATCTTTTAAATTCTATAAATTGAAAAAGATTCCGGAAGATTTTAATAGTAGACAATTAGGCATAAGTTTCACTGTGGTGCGTAATTCCACACTGAATCAGATTCAGATCTTTAATGTTATTTTTCTGCGGCTGAATACTTATAGAAAAATATCCTTCACATTAATTGAGATATAATCTGTTTTAAACAATGAAAATACTAGTCATAAAATAGTTGTAAACGTTGATTCGAAAGCGCAAACCTTTTTAATATAGATGTCAAAATATATTAGTGTGGAGTCTGTTGAACCCGCCGATGATTTTTCTGTTATTTTCTCAACTGTATAGTAATAACCTTATTTTATGTAAACAAAAAACTTCCAAAGCGATTTTTATCAGATATTACACCTAAAATTAGCTTTAAGATTTTGTATTATATTTGTAGTTTCTTTTTCAAATGCGAATCAACCTTTGGCTTAGTATGTATATAAATTTAGTACGTATAGAATTTCAAATAATGTTTTAAACTAATTATACTGTAACAACAATAGATTTAAATGATAAAATTATACAACAACTAACCAGTAAGTGGGTGTTTGTCTCCACCGAGCATATACGTTCGTAGTCTTTGTGCTATATGGTCTGGGGCATTCGGTCCTGCTCGTACGCAGACTAAACCTAGAGCGAGACCAGCAGCCAAAGCGTATCCTTCTCTTTCCACGCAATTCTCCATCTCAGGCCCTGGAGGTTTACCTAGTAATAACATAGAGATTCACCATGAAAAAAATTGCCTTACTACTACACAATACAGTGCAATTTGAACTGTAAACGCTGCGTTTCTTGTTATATCCACATGCACGAAGTATGTCATTAATTTATTTATTTATTTATTTATTTATTCATTCAACAAAGTTTCAACAGCAGTTTTGTTACTTCTATACAAAAATAAGTATGCAGCATTGACGCCAATTATAGAAACTTATTATGTTTACAAATCTTATTAATTATATAATCATAATGAGGGCAGTTAACAAAGAAAATGCAAGTATTAGACAAAAATATACATATTTATAAATTATATCGCACGACAAATATGGTGTATGTATGTATGTGTGTGTGTGTGTGTGTGTATGTGTTTATATGTTTAAATAAGGTGTGCGTATCTAGAACTTCAATTCATAATTACGTAATTAACTCTAAAGACGGGGCCAAGTTGAACGCACGGCGACCGCGCGTCGAGTGGGTAAGGCAGGCAAAGATACCTACGATACAGAGGCACATTCTACTGTCGGGCTTACATGGCGCGAGTAACAACAACTCAAACAGGCAATGGCTCGTTAAGAACCATTAATAAAATCAACTCGATTACGTATAAATAATAATAATAATAATTATAACAACAATAAACAATAACAATAATAGAACTACAACAATATCATCTCAATTCATGACGATCCGCACTGACAGATCTGACCAAAGCGGCCCTAAATGCATTTCTGGACATAGAGAAAAGGTCAATTCCGGAAAAGCATTTATTGTAAGTTCTAGGTAATCTGACTGTCACGTCATTGGCCTCATAGTTTGTTCTTACAAGGGGTATATGACATAGTTCCGTGTGTCGCGACCGCTTCGTTGGTGCATTCAAAGACACCATTCTGTTAACTAACCCGATGCAATCTAATTGTCCCGAATAGATATCGTAAAGAGTGAGCATATCTCTTATACGACGCCTGTCCCTAAGACTAACGAGACTGTGTTTACTACAGGACTCCTCGTAACCACTTGAGATATAGTTGAGTCTGAAATTCAAGTATTTTACGAACTTCATTTGTAGTTTTTCAAGAGCGTGTTCGTGCGTGACATATTTTGGATTCCAGACAACACTACAATATTCAAGGATAGACTGTACATACGCATAATACAATACTTTCATACAAGTGGCGTCTTTAAACTCCTTAGTTACTCTAAAAATAAATCCGAGATTTTTGTATGCCCTGTTAATTATGTTTTCGAAGTGATTGGCAAATGTTAACTTTGAATCCAAAATCACTCCTAGATCCCTTACCGTAATAACCCTTTTCAGCGGTTCATTATTTAATTTATAATCATACTCTATCGGTTGTTTACGTCTTGTGAATTTGATATGCATGCATTTCCCAGTGTTAACTGTGATCTTGTTGTTAATGTAATATTGTGTAAGGCGATCAAGGTCCTCTTGTAGTTTTAAACAGTCCTCATGTGTACTTGTTTCCATATAAATTTTAGTGTCATCTGCATAGAGTAAAATCTTAGCATGCCTGAGACAGGCGGTTATATCACTAATGTATGCTATGTAGAGCAAAGGACCGAGCAATGAGCCTTGTGGCACACCGGAGGGTATACGTATGTAATCCGAGCGAACTCCTCCAATCACCACAGCCTGTTTGCGGTTCGATATATAAGACTTTATCCACCGATACAGATCACCGCGTATTCCTAGGTAATAAAGCTTTTGCAAAAGTATGACATGATCCACGCGGTCGAAAGCTTTTTCGAAGTCCGTGTACACCACGTCAACCTGCGACTGGCAACCCATACCGCGGCGTAAGTCGCTAACGAATAAACTTAAGTTTGAAGCTGTTGATCTTCCTTTTATGAAGCCGTGCTGTTCACAGGGTATACCTTGCTTTAGAATGGGGTATATTCTGTTGTATACGATTCTTTCTAGACATTTTCCGAATACGTTTAAAATAGAAATAGGGCGATAATTCTCAATTCTACATTTGGAGTCTTTTTTGTGTATTGGAACTATATGTGCCTCTTTCCATTTTGTCGGATAAACTCCCTCGACAATACAACGATTAAAAATTATATGTAATGGAAAAGAGAGTGCCGCGGCACACTTAATTATAAAGGATGGTGGAATTTCATCACTACCGGCGCCCTTTTTTGCGTCTAAGGCAGAGAATTGCCTTTGAACCTCAGCTTGGGATACTGAGAAGGAATGAATCAACTCATTCGACCTGTGCGAAAGATTATCCCCATCGGAGTAACCTCCCGCTGGCTGAGTGAACAAACATACGCTCAAAGTAACTATTGAATGCCGAACAAATGGTTTTAGTATCAGAAAGTTGCATATTGTCATAGTTCATTGTACTAGGATAACCCGTTTTGTGCTTACGCTTGGAATTTACGTACGACCAGAGTAGTTTAGGGTTGGATTTCATGTTTTCTTGACAAAGCGTTAAATAATTTTGATAACAACTATTTTGAATAACTTTAACTCTCTTTCTTAACAGGGAAAATTCATCGTAATCAAGTGGATTATTGAATCGTTTCCAGCGACGATGCGCCTTTTGTTTTTCCCTCAATCAGATGAGTCAGTGCACGGCTGTACCATGCCGGATATTTATTAGAAAGGCTGGTATCGACACAAGGAACGTGCGCATTGATGACCTGATGCAGAACTGAGTATAGGGCATTGACGGAATCGTCAACAGTGCCTGATGACAACATATCCTCCCATTCAGCATTATGTAACTCCATATTAATAGTGTCGTAGTCGGCTTTTTTATATAATTTTCTTTTCCTGTTGCACCTAGGTAAGTTGCTCACCAAGATGTCGCTTGCATCGATATTTAGAGTGGTGTGTTGTGAGTCTTCTTTTACCAGAGCAGAGGTTGATATGCGAATATTCACACTAAAATTACTAAAGAAAAGGTCAATTGTGTTACCCGCGCTGTTAGTGAAAAAATTACTCTGATGAAGGCCCAGAAAATTTGTTTTGTTTACTAAGGATATTCCTGCGTTTTGTAACTCGACGCAGCCTTTTCGCAGATACATCGGACCAGACTCTTTCCACACTATATTAGGTAAGTTAAAATCTCCCGCCAATATAAACAGATCATGATCATTATTAAAAGTATTAGCAACATTGGTAATTAATTGTACAAAATTATTAATATGAGACGGTAAGGCACGTCCTGGCGCCATGTAAGCCAACGCTATATGCAAATCTTGTTCTAAGCCTATTGTGCGGCCGTCTACGGTAACCCACACACACTCGACTTGATCGCAATGCCACTCGACGCGCGCGCGCGCGCTCAGTCGTCGGTTGCACATGATCATGACACCGCCTCCGTTCGATCCCCTATCACGGCGGAATATCTCATACCGACTATCACCTAATTCGGAATCTAAAACGCTGTCGTTTAGCCACGTCTCTGTTATTAAAATTATGTCATGGTCCGAGAGAAGCAGGTTATTATAAAATTCTAGTGTTTTAGTTCGGAGACCACGAACATTTTGATAGAATATGTTTAATGTGTGACCGAAAATTCTAAATCAGTATCTAAATGTATAAACAAAAATGATAGTTTAAAGTATAGATAACATTTATTATTGTTATTGAATGGCTTATGAACGATGGTACCGAAAAGTGAATAGTAGATTTTGATAGGTGCTAAAGAATTGAGTAATAGTTTTTTATGTTTATACTTTCTGTTAGTGGATAGTGTTATCGGTTGTATATATGTATTCTTAGTGTTAAGTAAGTATGAAGTGTTGTCGTGCGATGAAATTGCGATAAGGTAATGAGCGAATTCAATTGAAATATAAAAACAAGCAATAGATAGTACTAACAATGGCTGGTATATATGCACTATATAATCTTCTTCAGGTCGTCCTCGCAAGATATTAGCAAATACGGTGAATTTTCGGCTTTCCTTGTATATATACGGCAGTTTTTTGTCCAAACGAATTTGTAGTTGTTAGTTTTAGCTTTTTTTTTACAGCTTGACAACAGTTGCTTGTTATGTATTGTTAAGTGTTCGTTAATGTAAATATTTTTAAGTTCACCTTGCATTCCAATATCCCTGGACGTGATTCCTCCACATTTGCGAGCAGCTGACAATATTGCGTCCCTTTTGTTTCGGTTTTGAAAGCGAATCACTAAGCTTCGTGGTTGTCCTTTGACCTGCCTCTTTGCTTGTATACGATGAATGAAATCCAATTCATGAGGATCAAGGGGCACATTAAGATGTTTGACTATATTATTCAAGACATCTGGTAAGGACTCCTCTTTAGCCTCTGGGACGCCCACTATCTCGATATTTTGAAGTCTTGACCATTGTTCCTGTCTTAATGATGCCTCTTCCATGTTATTTAACTTGGTTTGAAGCGTTTTAATCTGATCATTAAGGTTTTTATTTTCAGTCTGTAATTTTTTGACAGAAGATGTGCTTTTTTCAACCGTAGATTTAATACCGTCATATAAGTCGCTTACTGTTCTGACGGTTTTTTCTAGCTCTAAGAATTTACTCTCCAATGCTTTTGACACCGATTCCGTAACTTTAGCGAGGAAGTTAGGTAACTCACGGCGAAATACTTGTTCCAGTTCTGATCTTATTGTTGCTAGAATGTCGTATGGCTTTTCCTCGTCAACAGAGCCACTCCCGCTGACCGCCGGTGGGTTACGCGAACGGCTTTTGGTGTTCACAAACTCTTCTTCGCTACATGTGGTCTTCACTGGTGTATCAGAATTATCTCCTCGGCGTGTCTGTTTTATCTTACATGCTGGACATACCCAAGTTGATGATGGATTCCCTTGCTTATTGGGAACACAAGCAAGGTGATATTGAAGCTTGCATGCGGGTCTTGAACACGATAATACGCTTTCCTTTTGCTTTATGTCACTATCACAGGAGTTGCACTTCACCATGGTGAGATAATGTATGAAAAGTTTCACGAGAAAACTCAAAATAGCAGTAAATTCTATTACGTATACTTCAAACCGTAATTGTTCTAATAAGAGACAACGTTTCTTGATCCTTAATAGAAGAAAACTTAATTTTTAATGAAATAAATGTAAGAGCTATTGTTTCTGTGTCGACTACCCGACAAAATGCCTAATACTTTTCTATTATCTGACTGATGGAAATAGAATAGAATTTCTATTTTTTAACCAGTCGTGTTCCTTATTAGTAAACCCCAGAACTTCTATTCAACTGTAATATCATTCCTAAAGGACGAAAGGGATTAATAAGCATTGGCAATGTTTATAATCTTTCATTGGCAAACAATATAAAGACGATTACTACGATTTTTATAAGTAGTATCGGTAAAAAACATCTGCACAGAAGAGTAAAACCAAAATTCGGAAAAGGAGTAATAATCGTAGCCTATTTACACGTGAAAATATATCATTCGATAAAATTATTGAAAAAGCAGCTATTGCAGGGACCAGACCGGATATATTTTCAGCCGTGACACTCAGTTAGCGCGATGCATGTATCGCGGCGCCATCTCGTGAATATGCGAGGTAACCTGAAGCTTTCTTTCCGTATATTGGCTTGATAGATGTCGCCATAGGTATATTCGATTAAGGAAACCAATCAATATGGTACATACCTATTTCATTGAGTAATACTTGTGCATAGTGTATATGGCCGGTATCCTGATATATAAGACCGACACCTAGTAAAGCTGCTACCAGAATATTCTGTTGGATATCCAGCTCAATCGACGTTGGCGGCAATAGAGGCTCTAAGTGTATACTCATCATTTTTGTTGCTTGTACATCCATCGTTCCTGTTAATATAATAAATTATGCGATATAAATAATTAAAAATTTCCAATTGAATTGTAATGAATATCGTCCTTTACAATGTTTTGTGTCTTTTATCAGGTTAATTATCTATATGCCTTTATATCGGTCAAAACAAATTCTATTCTAGTCATGCTTGCTTTTTTCCTAGATTATCAACTGAATTCTTATAATTTTCTTTTCATTTGCACATAAAAAAATTCGATCCGAAACCAATAAATTTTTGCATCAATAAAGACTACCTAAAAAATTATATTTAAATACATGGAAAACTATCAAGAATTTCACAAAACAACGGGACAATTGTCGAAAATTGTCTTAACTCTTACTAAAATTAAAAGTCTACGGTTTTTCTTTTTAATTTTAAATTCAATCGCTATCGTTTTTTTTTTTTAATAAAAGTATTGCGGCAGCGCAGTATCCGGCTCGAAGGACCATAAAGATGTATGATTCTCACCACGCTCCTTGCTGATAATTAATAATATTAAAACATTTCATTTGAAATAAATTGATGTATTATCTAAAACACTGTTTGATAAATTAATAACTAAAATTATATGTTACAATGAGTACACGACTAACGCCTCGCAGGTTTTAGGTGAAGTGAGTAATTGTCGCTATTGAGTGTATTTTGCTGAATTTCAGTTTGTACGGTCAGTTCATTCAGAAATGTTACCTCTGTAAGTAGCCGCAAGACCAAGTAGAAGTCCTATGCTGATCATCTCATGGCACTTGACTAGATATTCGTACATATTCATGAAAGGCATGTCGCGCAAGTGTCCGTTCAATCCTAATGCCATTAAGAATCCAGCATGTTCCGTAGACATCTCAGTGGTACCCTGATAAAAAAAATTACACTTTATTGTTATATCCAGTAGATCACTAACTTGAAAAGATATGGAACTTGTATCTCGATAGTTGACTGTTACATATGTTATATTATTTGAATATTGATAATAATAACATAATAAATTATTGATTCTATGTAACTTGTTTGCATTTTTATTTGCTTATATTGTCTATAAATTAAAAGAGTGTGTTATTACTTTAATATTATGTGGTCAATATGCTTTTCTTTCTTTTTTATCTCTATTCAATATATAATAATATTTTTTTTATTACGAACATTATTGCTTTAGTATAATGCGTATATTAATAATGTTTAACATTATTCCGTTTCCGTTCTTTCTTAAGGTAAATAATCATTCAAAATACTCAAACTTCATGCTATTTGTCTATAAAAATGTACACGTGTAAGGATGTCATTGTTACAAAAAGTTAACATAGATGCCGTAACATCAATGTAATATGTTACAAAATAAACAACATATTCTAATGTTAATATTGTTTTAGGCTTTTATATTTATTTCGCCGATTTGGTAAACTATATGATTATTAAAAAAGTCGATTGTACTTAGGGAAACACCACCAGGCACCGTCATTACGCGTCGGTTGGTGTCAATTCCCATCTTTTACATTCATAAAAGCATTACACACATAAAAGTCAATATATTCTAAAAAACTGTTATGTAGGTAGATCAATAAGAATCCCAAATGACGGGTATGTTTGTTACCGACTCGATTCCTTTGTCTCGCAATACAACTGATAACGAATAGACGCTTTTTATTTCGCTCCTCCACTATATATTAAAAACTATTTCAGTACTCACTCGAGGTTTATTATAAATTATCCAACTCGAATCAATACTAGCTCCTGTCATAGGTACGAGTGCCAGTCCAGCTGCCACTCCGTTATGGAACGTTGGCCACAGAAGGCACTGTGGTGATGCATCCCCTCCACCGAGGTTAATGGTGTTACATCTGGGTGGGGGGCCACGGCCAGACACACAGAGCTTCGGCAAACATAGAGGCTCAGTAGGTGTACAAGGTAAACTACGAAGTGTCAACATGCCTCTGTGAAGAAAATGTTTAGGCTAGGATTCCCAATCATTGGGGAGAGTGATTCTACGAAAATATGAACTTCTGGTTTGATAGAACCATCATTATTATTCTTCGAAATAATTAATCTTGACTGACATTGTTTAATTTTTAAATCTAAATAGAATCTCTATATACATAGAAGCAGGCTGATATCGCCGATAAAAAAAATATCTACGGGATATTTTTTTTTAATAGGCGAAATATATTGGGACGTATCAGCCCGGATGTTCAAGTTTCCATAGAATCATCCGAGTGCATTGGCGGTCAAGGCCATTCACGGATTGGTGACCAAAAATAAAATGTTACGAGCTCATTCGATCTTCAGAAGGCATGTTTAGCCGTTTGTGCTAGCTGCATCTGCAGTGCTTGATATCCATCAATCCGCATTGGGCCCGTGTGACCGTGGGTCAGGCCCCAACTGTGATATTAATAGGCCGGTGATGATAATGTGTATAAAAACAAAGATGAGTAGTCACTAATGTGAGTAACATATGAATAGGGCCATGTGAGCTTTGCAATTTAAAATATGTAAACCAAATTTTTATTTTCTTTATAGGCTCATAGTAAGGTCGCGTTAGTTCTAATACTTGCTAATCGGCCTTATAAAAGTGTTTCTTTATATCATTAGACCAGTGATAAAAAAAACAACCACAAACAACATTAGTCTTAAAATGAGCGTGCAGGCAACTCAAGCATATGGTCAAGTTATTATTGGTCGTTGCGTAGTCCATAGTTATAACCAATTAATTTATTATATTACACACTCAGAGGAAGTAGCTGGGTGGTGTTGTGGATAAGCGCCGCTGCCCGCGCTCGTTGTCGTTAAGCAACTTTCGCAAGGGTCGGTCACGGGATGGATGACCAAAAAATTATTATATCGAGCTACTCCGTGCTTCGGAAGGCACGTTAAGCCGTTGGGTCCCGGCTGCATTTGCAGTCGTTAATACCCTCCAATCCGCATTGGAAAAGCGTGGAGGGTCATGGCCCATCCTCCTTTACCATGAAGAAGGCCCTGCAGTGGGGACGTACTCATAGAAATTGCAATCATTTACTCAATCAATTATGATCAGTCAATAAGTCATTTTGTTTGCCTATAAATAGTATATCGACTCACCTCGCTACCGGTAAAGCCATAGTTCTAGTGCTGATGGCATAAAGGTGTTTTTCCTGTTCTTCTATGAAATCATGGTCAGAGACCTCGGGCCGCTGAGTTAAATTTATAGTGACTGGAATTGACGACTGCAGGAGATTGAATACTTCTGCCATTCTGTATTTAAAAGGTAATTTAGGTAGGTTAATATCTGCATATCTGTATGCCTCCAATTTGGTGCAGAATGAGACAAGTGAATGAGATTTTATTTGAAGAACAGGATAAAGATAAAGATAGTGAGCAAAGAGTAAAGTAATAGTGAGCATAGTAGAAATATTTTTGTAAATGTATGTAATTAGCAAGTGTATTTTAAATTTATTATTCATCATTGCTGCATATTTATATGTAATAAAGGGAATCATTCATTTCGAAACAACAAAATATTTGAAAAAAAAATTGTTTGTTCGCTACGGGTACTAGTGCTGTTATCCATGCCAAGTTTTGCGTATTATTCAATTATTTCTTATTCGGTGTGTTGGATGAGGACAGGTCTGCGACGATCATTAAGTAACATTGGTAAGACGAGGGTTTCCCATTGATCGCGTCAACGATCTCTTTAGAAATCCTACCAATAACCATAACAATATTTTTATAATGTATAAAAATATTTTTGTTTCTTTTGATGTCATTAATTAATTTTTATTTTCAAACATAAATACCACACTAATATAAAAAAAAAATTAGAAAACGACCTCTAATGATGGCTTATTTTACTCGACAATTTCTTATCATTTCTGTTAAAAAAAACAGGATGCATTACATACTTCTCCAACCAACACTTATTTTACCTGTGATCTCTCGGATACAATAAACTTAAGAGTTTAGTATTTAGGTGTTCCATTCCAGTGTGGGTATCATTCTCCTCATTCTTTGGCTGTGTTTGTTCTTCTATTTTGTTACTATTAAGGGAGTATGCTGTTTCTTTTTCCAATACTTCCAGAGCAAGTGCTGTTAAAAAAGACCATAAATAAATAAATATTTGCTGAGAATTTAATCAAGCAACTATTTTATATCGTTCCTATTGGACGATAGAACCGGCATGCAGTTTGCGGGCAATGGATATCGTTTTTAATGGACGATCATTGGCTTTAATTAGTTCGACCAATGAAATGAACCTGCAAAGGTCACCCGCACTCCCCATTTCCATCAACTAAATTAAATAAATCTTATAATTGACAGACACTATTTGACAGCTATAACAATAAATTATGAGATATGTTAGAAATATATGTAAACAATAACTATATATTTGTTTTAAAATAAAAATTAGTATATTATATTTTTGCAAAATTAACTTGCAGTTATTTTAACTGAGTATTAACTGCGGATGAAAAGAACCGAAACGCGGTCGGCCACGACGAATCATCTTGTGACGTCACATTTCAATGAACTAAACGGCGTTGTTGCGGGTACAGCCGTAGCTACTGATACTAATTTGAAATGTGACATCACGTGCATGATTGTTTCCGTGGGATTATTTAAAGAAAAAAAAAACCTGATACTGATTTCATATGATCATATGAAAATTTTAAAATACTTTTTTGAAAAATAATCCAGTAGCCAATAATTCCCCTAAGCTACTCACATTCCATATACTCCGAGTTAGATTTTAGAGTTTCCGAGATTTCAGCTTGCAGGGCCAAATCTTCCCTCATGACCAGATTGTACGCTGCCGCCGGCCAATCAGCTGGTGGTTCGCTTTTACACCGACTGAATATTGTCAGTAACAATAGTCCGATCGCTGGTGGTAAGTTATCAACATCTCGTGGCGTCATACCTAACACAATGTAAGACTCGATATTATTTAATAGGGAATTTCTACGTTATTTATCGTGTCAAGTTTAAATTGATATAATACAATAAATCTTGATTACACAGGGATAGATATATACTAGTCTATTGACTGTAAGCGTCGCTCAGAAAGAATAAGGAGAGAGCGTCCCTACTCCAAGACAATTACGTTATTTCATATGAGAATACTAACTAAATAAGTGGAATAATTTAAACAAAAATCTTTTTATTTTATAACTTTTAATATTCCAATTTCCTATATAACAGAAATTTACAAATTACGCCTAGGCCTAAGATGGGGATAAATATCAAACAGTAGTTAATCCAAAGGGCTAATTGTGTAATTTCAAGAGCTATGCAATCCATTCCAAAACGTATTGCGTTTTATGGAACTGTGTAACGTTTAAAGTCCCAATTGTTTACAAAACGAATGATGATTAAAATAATCAATAAAAGATAATAAAAACATAACTTAAACTATGAAAAGAATGCAGTTAGCGTTCGACATTATTTTTGAGTCTAACGCTTGCTTAGACAATTAAAAATACCATCAAATTAGCGATATTGTTCATTTAATACCTTTCTAAACAACATCGCGAGCGCAATAGCTATCATACTTTATGACTATCGAAGCAAGACCTATTTTATTTTTATCGTAAGTTTGTTGTTAATCTTCGGAATTAGTATATCTACTCTGTGGAGATTCACCACGCGCCATAATAAAAGAATAATAATGACATAGTCTACCTCTTTCACACACGGTGATAACAGCTTGGCAGAACGGAGACGAATACTGTGAGCAATCGCGTCTACTACGCGGTGTGCTCGCCATCATTGTATCTCTTCTTGTTATAGTTTGCACTCCTGCGCATCGACCACATCCCACAATATTTAATACCTAAAAATAAATTTTACACTTGATTAAAAAATTAAAAGGAGCTCGATGGCGCTTTGGGGGAACTTTCAACTTTCAATGGCCGGTCATGAGATGGGTGACCAAAAATTTATTATCTCGAGCTCCTCCTTGCTTCGGAAGGTACGTTAAGCCGTTGGTCCCGGATGCATCTGAAGACAATATGCATTGGGCCTGCGTGGTGGGCCTAACCCATTTGTTTCTATGCGATTTTATTCGATTCTATCCATAATTAATAGGCTAGTGAGGATGATAAAATTGCAAACAATTTTGAAAATTACTATTCAAATGAGCGTAACTGTAACTGTGATTATGTAACCACCGAACTTTTACCGACATGAACATTCATGGAAATATTTTCATATGCAGCAAAAACAACAAGCACTAAAAAAAATAATTAATATATTACCATTATAATTATACACATTTAAAATTAACTTTAGTACCAGGTAAACTATTATACGATCAAAATACATTAATTCGTGTCAATTTGATGTTTTCTCTTCTGTCATTGAAAATTAGCTTTAGGTAGTCAATGGCTTAAACCAAATACTAACTAAAGGCTCGTTTTATAGTAAGATGGTATAAATGAATGGTAAATTCTCGCCTGGTAAGCGAGAGGTGATACATGTGATGATTTCTTTTTTTGAAGTACTTTAAGATAAATAACAGCTTGTCGTAAAATGACACCGCAGAAATAACCAGGACAAAAGAACCTTACCTCAATAATATTCCTCGATACATCATTCACTTCCGACAAATATGGATAATAACCAACATCTACGTCTAATAACATAGAGTTCATATAGCTAAATACATTTGGCGGTTCACTAGTAAAGTAAGTCGGCTGGCTCAACTTTTGCAAAACGGCATCGTCTAATTGCAATTCGTTCTCCTCATATTCCAAACTATAATCAGTTGGAAAGTCTAACCAATAATGATTCACGTAACCGTCCAGTTTCAAATCTTTCGATATCTGATACAAAAAGCCCGACAGAGGTTTCAAATCGCTCAACAGCAAAGTGTTCAATTTGATCTCTTCGTATACTAAATGGAAGGAAAACAGTATTTGTACTGTGTATGGAAAGAGTAACGCATTAGTATTAAACTGTGAAGGTTTCTCCGCTTCAATACTGTTCCTAGATCTGATCGATCTTAATCCTTTGGCATCAGGATTGGTCGAAGCAATATGCAGGATACTTGCTAGTGGACTCCCTATAGCTTTATGGAGTTTCGACTTTAGAAGATACTCCCAATCCTCTTGTGTGCCATCACTTGAAGTCCTCTGTTTCTTTGTAGCCACTTCTGTGTGCTCATTTTCTTCACTGTGCTTCGTTTGTGATAATTTCTCAATGTCATATCCAATTAATGAGAACAGGAGATTAGAAAACATAGACCATTCTTGTTCCGGTGTCAAATCTTGTGTACCTGGCGCGTTGCGTACGCCATACCATTTTATTATTATCTGTTAAACAGTAAGAGTATGTATTATAATTCTGAAGAGAGTCATGAAGGTTTGAAAAATAATTTAAAAGTTTAATTAAACGTCCATATGTTGAATGAAAAACAATGAATGCACTATATTGCACACAAAGTAAAAAAAAAAGTAACAAATTACACAGCAAGAGAAGAAATATTACCTGCATTGTAACATCTTTGGGTAGAATAGCTTTTAAGGCAGTGCAACACCTGTTAACAAGCGCTGAGCAAGATATCGTAGGTAAAGATATGCGATACATCGCTCCTGAGTCGAATTGTAAGGTCAGACGGGAACCGGCTGCATCGCAAAGGCCACTGAGCCCTGGAAAAAAAATGAAATTTTATACAAATATTTAGTAGGTAGAGTAGCTCGGTGGCCTAGTGGATAAGCTACGCGGCCTGCGAATACTGATGCTAAGCGACTTTCGTCAGAGTCAGTTACGCGATGGGCGACCAAATAATTATCTTGGGCTACTCCATGCTTCAGAAACCCTGTTAAGCTCTCGCCCGGTTGCATTTGCATTCGTTCGTACCCTCCAACCTGTTTTGGGTCAGCATGGAGTGTTATGGACCTGATAGCAGAAGCATAAGGTCTGAGCCCGTGCAGTGGGGACGTAAATGGTCTGACGATGTTTATGATTCAGTTGATGTGAGTTATTTTTCTGTAAAATAGTGATAAAAGTGGTCCACACCAAATTTATACGGCAAAACATTCGTTAATTATTAAGTTAATATATGATTTTTAAACTTATACGTTGGTTATGGCAAACGTAAGAAAACTGAAAATAGGGTATATATATCTGCTGGTTGGCCTAGAAGACTATTGCTACTCTGCGGACATGGACAGAGCCGAAATATCGGAGACTCGATTTATAAAATGTGCATAGTAGAGATGCTGTACATAATTATCATTCTTATTCATGTAGCCTGAGACGGATTTTTTTAGTAATCATTTTTAAGTATTAATGTATCAAACAATAATTGTTAAGAAAGTATAGTATAGTGTAGTATTTAGACTACCAAATAAGTGTAAAAATATATAAATCAGATTTTGAATTTTACGGCCACTAGATTTAGGTTTAAAATACATTTTCGTGTATAAAATTTCAGAAATCCTGATGTCGCTAATGTAATTACCTTAATCTATATAAATAAAAAAAAAATTTAAAACGGATATAGATTAAGGTTTGAGGTAGGATTACACTAATATTCAATATAATAATATCACCCACTTTTGTTAGAGTTAACAGGCCGAGTATTTTTTATATCAAGTTTCCATTATCATCACCGGGCTCAGACCTTCCCTTTAATGAAATCAAATTGAATAGGGAGACCGGGTTACCCACCAAGCGCGCTTTTCACGGATTGGTATATGTTAACGATTGCCTTCCAAAGTACTTAATAATTTTTCGGTTACCCATCCTATGACCAGCTTTAGCGAAAGTTCGCCTCGAAGAACGCCTTGCGCTAGTTTCTATCTCTAATAAATACCTATAGTTTCCTTTTGTTCTAAGCGCGATGCAGAAGTATGCGGCACCGGCGATAATAAATGTAAGGCCGAGTCGTCAAACGCGGATGCGTCGTTACACCGACTGGGTAGTAGACTGCTTCGTCGAGGGAATGGCGACTGAAACGCTGTCCGCTTAGTGTAAGGAGAATCTATGAGCCTAGCTAGCACTCCACCTACGTGCACCTACAATGAAATCATGCAATTCAGGGTAAAGTGTTGCCGACAAAGGTCAATTATTTATATTAGGTCCTTACATATGAAATTGGTGTTTGGTATGGGAGGAACGTTGGAACAAAAAACGCACCGTGTTGGCTTTTGAGACACAACCGCCATACACATCATTAACCCTTCGAGTCGTTTCCGCAGCACTGGTACCACGGTGGAACTCGTACTCGTAAATAACACGATATTTCAAGTTTTCCATTTTTTATACTGGGTGACGTATATAGGACAAAAGAAAGAAAAAAAATGCATGCCGCCTAACGAAACAAAAATACAAGTGTAAATGGCTGTATAAATTTGAATTTGGAATACCCAACCAGGGAGGAGAAATTTGTGATTAAAATGACCAAAACGACAAAACTCCAATTTCATATGTAAGGACATTGATAATAATTCTAAAATAAAAAGCCGTGAGTTTTGATATTTTTTCTATATCATGACATAAAAAAATTAATACCTACAAAAGAAAATAATAAAAGTATACAAAAACTATATAAACGGGGTTTATTGTTTACTTTTGCATTCATAATGCTATACTGAAAACTATTCTCAATGAAAAATGCTTAAAAATGGTATCATCTGGTACCAGGGACAAAAGTGGACTTTTAAGCATTTTTCATCAAGAAAGGCCAAATACCTGTTTTACTGTTTGTTTTTATAACAACAACGTAATAATATGTGTCATTCTAAAGTTACCAAGTTTATTTGTCAATTTCCTAGCCATTTAATTTACTTTAAGTAATTTTCTGCAACAATTGAAGTCACAAGCTAGTCTTTTCAATTTATATTATATTATTTTCGGCAACAGGAGGCTTACACTCGTATCTTTGTCGAGAGAAGTAATAACTTGAGAATATGTCATATCATAACTGAAGCAAATATTTTTAACCAATAGACAAGAATTTGAAGTAAGGACAGTCAAAAGCTCATAATAACAGTGTTACTATTAAAAAAATAACATGTACAAAAATGCACAAGTCTCACAACGCAATAGGGTAGTTTCGGTAGTGAAAAAAATTTATGAAATTGCACAAAAACTAATATAAACATAGAGATTCTGAGTTTGAGTCCTGAAATAACACGATTTTATTATTGTCATAAAATTAAAAATCGTGATTTATTTGTTTGTGCATCACGTGACTTGAAACACGTACCGCCATTGTGTGACGTCACTATGGCGAAAAATAATCAGTTACAAATAATATTAAAAACGGAGTATACCTTATTCGTGAAAGAGAGACGAAGAAAGAGAGAGAAAGTTTCATTTTACCGCAGAAGAATAAGGTATTCGTTAATACCTTATTGTTCTGCGGTAAAATGGAACTTTATTAAAATGAAACTTGAACATTTTGGCGGTTTTTAAATCAGCCGTCTTGATAACGGTCCAAATTTCATATACTCAGTTGCACAAACGGTTATTAAAATTATCATTAGTTAAAAACGACATTCATTAGACTTTAATGGATGTTTGTGCAACTGACCGATAATGATTCGACCAGAAAACTAAGCGGGCAATCGAATGGTGCTAGCCAGTTAAATGGCTAGCCGTCCAATTGTTCGGCTGATCATACCATATTGTATATGATATTACATTTCAAATATGTAGAACAAAATCCAGTAAAATAAAATAACAAGGCATTGGTTGCTGTTAATTGAACAACAAAATAGGATCTATCTATTCTGTCTTATATCTTCATGATAGAAGCCTTGCATAGAGAGCAGAAAAAGATATTCTAACTATGGGATAGTTATTTTAGGTAAGACAAAACCAAATATTTCTAAAATGAAGAGAATCCTTACCTTGCCGACCACATTGTTTCCAGACTGCAGTATAATATTTCCAAATTCATCTATGAGCGCTATCATTTGTAAATGTTCCAATACAACAGCATCTTTAGCCAACACCGTAGATACTGATCCCACAATTAAATTACACTTTGGTGTCTGCCCTTGAGAATTTGATTTTTGAAGACGCACAATTTGTAGCTTACTGATGCCACTAACTTTCACTATGAAACAAAGGTATTCATGTCCTACTAAGTCTGTATGCAGGAATGTTTTCATATCAGATGAATTATTAATACGATCTCTATGGAGTATTTGACTATCTGTCCAAATATGATCTAAGCATATGTCGGGGTATAAGGGTAATAAAGGTGGAGCTTGTGATGCCATGTTGGCCATCATAGATATAGAAGATGCTTGGCCGATAGAAGCATGAGGCGACATGCCTTGTTGATGGAATATATTCGCCATTGGACTATTTTGTCGTGACTTTGATAAATTTGGTGTACCCGGGCCTTTTTTTGATTGATATGGGCTACCTATGCCTGTCACCCAACTTGTTGCATTCCTCCCAATATTGCTAGCCATAGGACTGCCAATAAAATCATATGACTGACTAAACATTGTTATAGTGGAATTGGTATTTGGGCACATTGAAAGACACTCATCTCGTGTTGCTTTTCTGATTTTCCATAGTGAATGAGTGCCTGTTTTCCAATCATACAGAAGAATTATACTTGGACTGACATTAACAAATATGATCTGAAGCTCTCCATCATTATAATATTGCAAACCTTGAGATGGTGATTTCATTAATACAGGTGTTACTTCATCTAAAGGATGTGACAGAGAGAAGCAAGTTGGCAGAGGGACTTCTTGTTCGTAACCTGATATAGATTCGGCACGTAAACGAGCACTCATATTAAAAGGCAAATGAGTCTTCGACCTTGAGAAAGTGCTGTTATGAGATTCATTGAGCTTAATAAACGAAGACGGTAGAATTGAATTATGCATCGCTGGCGTTGCTTGCTTTTCTATCAATAAACCATATTTCATTGGCCAAATCTTTTTAACTTGGAAAGGTACACTGTTTATGTATTCTCTGCCATCATTTCCAAAGACTTTCATGCACTTGTTATCCATAAGTACTATGGTGGGCATGATTTTGGTTTCTATATGTTTAGTTGTGTCTTCTATTTTTATATTTTTCTTTTCATCTGCAATCTGAGAGTTCAATGCATCAATTAGCATGGTATTGTTAATGTCAACATGAAAATTGCAGAATGCTGCATGTTTTATAGGATTTTCTATGGTGTAGCAACAAATTGTTTCTCTATGTTCTGGAGCAGATAACTTTGTAGCAGGTGTTGAAATTAAACCTATAAAAAGTGTTTTTAATTAGATGGCAAAGAATTGAAATTCATAATATTGATGATTGAAAGGTCTAATGAACTCATTGATTCTTTGGCATGATATGTGCATTATTATTCGATTTTTTAAAGTATATATTCATTCAGGTGGCAATAAGTACTTAAGTGACTTTTTTTCAAAATTGAATTGGGTCAAGTTTAATATTACATGCACATAATTACATGGAATTTGAAAATAATTTAATATAGAAAAAAAAAACAATGATGCTCTGTTTAATTCTGGCTCAAATTAACACATGTCAGCCAGATTTAGACTCATCTTCCATCAGATTTGCAGACCCTTAAAAACGCATCTAGTATTATTTTGGTGTTCAAAGTAAAATTTTGCACTCCATGAAATGAAATAGCAAGTACCTTTAGACCACACTGCAGTGCAACCTTTTACATAGAGTTCCTCTTCATATGAACAGTCAGTTTTTGAATCAAGTGGTCTTTTCTTGAGTCCTTTACTCTGTCCACTGTTGAGATTGAATTTTTTTGACATGTTGCTAGAACTATTGGCACTTCCGCCCCTAGAAGCGCCTGCAGAATTTCCACATTCAGGCTCTGATTTTTTAGCACCGCTAAGTAATTCAGACTTGATAGAAATGTTGAAATCTGTTTTGAGGCGACTTGGAGGTCTAAATGATTCAGAACCATAGTCATATTTAGGGTCCTTTTGATTTTGATCTGGTTCCTCTTCCATATCTAAACAATATTTTTAAGATAAATATTACACAACACAAGATCAATGTATGTGCTATACATTGATCAGATCCTAATATGGTTCGATTGATGGATTGTGGATATCTGACACAAAAAAAGGTACAATACTTGGTTTTGACACAAAATAGAATTGTCCATATTGTATTAAATACATCATCATCAGCCCTTTTACGTCCTCACTGCAGGGTCTCAGGCCTTCCTTATGGATGGTTAAGGAAGATGGGCCATGACTCTCCATGCTGGCTCAATGCGGATAGGAGGGTATTAACGGCTGCAAAAGCAGCCGGTACCAACGGCTTAACGTGCCTTCCGAAGCACGGAGTAGCTCGAGATAACAATTTTTTTGGTCACCTATCCCGTGACCGACCCTTGCGAAAGTTGCTTAACGAGAACGATCGCGGGCCGAGATGCTTATCTACTACGCCACCAAGCTACTTACAATATAATATTTTTGAAAAAATCAAAACAGGGATGACAACTAACTTTTGTCTATATGTCCATATATACTCCATTCATTATAACATTAGAAAAAAGAGGGTCATAGAAGCAGCAGTGCAGAACATTTTATTTTCAAGATAAATTTAAAAAATATATATTAGTTTTGTTGAAACTTTAAACATTATGTTGTCTGAAAGAGCTGAGCAATTTTCCATTTTTTACAATACCTTGGGGTTGAGATGAGGCCAGCATTTTATAAATTCATCTTTTACTCCCAAGCCAACATGAAACTAAAACTGAAACTATCTGTCTGTTGTTAACTTGTTTTGATAAATTCTAATTGTAATTAGTTAGACTATTGATGAAGACATTGAAAAAACTCCTTGAAATATCAAAGGTTAAGGGTAGGTATTGGGGCTTAGAGAGTAATTTTTATAGGCCATTCGGGCCTGCACCGGCATCGTCCATATTTAACAAAACTTAACAACAAAAATAAAACAATAACAACTTAATCATGGAAAACGGCAAAACAATAATAAAGGCAGAAGCATTCACGATGGATGACAATCCCAGATTACAATTTTAATAATTATGAATAAATAATAGTCTGACAAAATTAAAAAGCTGTACTGCCAAAACATTTGATGGGGTAAGGCAACATTTTAAATTTGGTAGAGTTATAGTGACATGAGAATCGTGCCGAAACTATCCAACCCTGCTTCTTTAGGTTCTTTACGATGAACACTTTTTATTGTAATAGTTATTAAATCATTTAAGTTAGTCATATACTCATAAATTTGTTTAATAGATAGCTGCAATGACAACAGTTAAGTATAGCAGCTGGTATTTAAGTGGTTATGTAGCAAATTAGCCGTCAGTCTTAAAAGAAACATGATTATTGATATTTTGTCACAAAGTATACCATAAAAAGAACCTTATTCAACTTCTGTCTAATGCTATAATGAATGGAGTATAGTTTATTATTAAATAATAATAAACACATATTAAAAATATTTTTAGCATTATCAATAAATTAACGCAATAAAATGACTTAAAATGTTAATGACATCACACCTTTGTATATTTTCTACATGCTTGCGATGTAGCAAACCAACTTTAATGCCTCTTATCTATGCCATTTATAGTAAAATTGAATCCAAAAAAATATGTATCTAATATTTTTCCATTATCTGATTGTCAGACTAAATACAATTTCTAATTTCTTACCAAGGCATTGTCCCCATTACTTACTATAAAATATTGATCTTTTGAACACAGTTGAACAAGTAAAGATTTGATCTTGTTAGTTTTACAAGTCAAATATTGTTGAATAAAATGTAAATATATTCTTCTGCTGTATGTCAGAGTTCCTTATTAATCTAACAAAGGAATTAAACATAAAATATATAATATTATTATTATTATAAAGAATTAGTTTGGCTATTCAAAGAGGAAACGCTCACAGCCTTCCTGTTGTACTTTACCTGTTGGCAATGATTTACAGACAGAGACATTTTTATTTAGTATAGTTATTATATTAAGACATACTTTAGATAGGTAGTTTTAATTTATATTATTATTAGCATATTTCAATTACCATTGTTATTTCTGTAATAAACTTCCCGAATGCACCACCATTCCCTTTCATCTGTTTCTTTAGTATCTAACACAGTTTCATCTTTGATAGCAAAGTTTGTCAGCTTGTATAGCAAGGAGTTCTCAGAGGTTGAACTATTAGAGCCTTTACCATAAATCTGACCTGGATGCTTTGCTATCATGGTTCTGCCATGAGGCACAAACTCCTGCAATATCAAAAATTATGACAAATTTTATAACACAAATAATTAATTACCAATCAACTCTAAAAAAGATATTTAAGGATTAAAAAAACTTAAGCTTAAAATGTAGTTTACGGAGACGGCTATATAAAACTGCTTCCTAAATTCTGGAGATAACTTTTCCAATTAAAAATGGTAAAAATAGTGACAGAAAGTAAACAATAACATTACCATAGGTTCTGACGCCGCAATCATTATTTTCTCATCCAGATTTGAAACGGAATTTATTTCAATAGATAACCGTAAGCATATATTAATCTTAGGTAGCGCTTTCTAAATAATGCAGCATAAAATGCTGAAAAATTGTTTAATTTTCTCAACGAGCCAACCAAACCGTACTGCCGGCGGTTAGTTTATTTTGACATTTTTGACAGTCAAACAGACCTTCTTCTTTTTTAATAAGGAAGTATTAAAAAAAAATTAGTTCCCGAAATCAAAATAGATGTCGCTATGGTACGTTCTTGATTTCTCCATGACAACTCTTCGGGCGCTTGTGCACTACACTGAATTTTCAGGTCCGGCGGTCCGATTTTTTCCGGTCCGGAATGACATGAAAAACTCGGATGAGTAGCTTGTGCACTTGTCCGTTTTTTTCCTGATCGGAGCGGCGCAGTGTAGGGCAGCTCTCTTTGAAGCTACACGTCACTTACGCTAGGTACGATGTACTAATTTAGGAACAGCATTATTCACATACAATAGCTAAAAATAACTGTGACATTAGAATAAAATTACTCATAATGGTCTTGTACTTGATAATTAAATTTTTAAACGTGCTATTTTTTTCGAAGTTTTGTAAAAACAACTTTCAGCGATTACAGAGATAGACCAATCGGTGGCGCCATTTCGTAAACAAATCGAAATTAGTGCCGTGTTAGCGGAGAATTATTATGCTAAATGAACTTTACGAGATCAGTTGACTGTATTATATATAGGCATAATTTTATACGCGTGGTGTAGTTTCTTTGAGCAGAAATATTATTCTCTTAGAATACTTCTTTTATTAATGACACAAACATACATTTAAAATTTTATTAAATGCGAAAAAGACATTGAGTGTCACTTAATTACTTTTGTTAATCTTCTGTTTATTCTTTATTATTACTTCTGTTGTCAAATATTTATCTATACTTATCAATTGTCTAAAAAAAATTTGATAATGACAAATTTCCAGGCAAACTTTCATCCCCTATTTTTCACGATAAAATGTAGCCTATGTCATTCTTAAAGTTAAGTCTATTTACTATATTAATTTCCATTTAGAGGGGTTCAGTTGTTTAGGCGTCTAAGCGTAACAACACTTATTTATCTTACCTTAAGCTATCGATACTTTTAATACGATTCTAAAATCTAGCTAAGTATCGATACTAGAACCATAGGCTGATCAACATTTTTAAATATTTAACAACATCACATACATTGCTCAGATTCCAAGATGAGTAGCTAAAGCCCCCGTATTATGGAGTATCTGAGACAACGAAGGTACCACAACACCCAGACCCGAGTCAATATAGAAAAGTTTATTTTCTACATTGACCCGACCGGGAATCGAACCCGGGACCTCAGAGATGGTGACACCTTGAAACCGGCGTGCGAACCACTCGGCTACGTAGGTCGTGATCAAATTAGAACTATACCGAGTTTGCCAAAGCATATGCAGTGATATATACCAACTATATTAAATCATCATATAAAATATCGATTATAAGTTTATTGGAAATTAACAATATCGCCGAAATAAATATCGATTCAAATCGATTATTTTTTCCCAAGCCTATTCCTTATGAATTTTCCGGATCTCGGACACAGCAGTGCACAAGCGTAAACACGTTTTTCATTGCCGCCATCACGGACCTGAAAAAACCGGTCCGGAATAGAGAAACGTAAAATTCCGGACGGTAAAATTCCTGACAGTGCACAAGCGCGCATTACCTACATATGGCCTGACATATCGGACCTGAAAAAATCGGACCGCCGGACATGAAAATTCAGTGTAGTGCACAAGCGCCCTTCCGGTTTTCTTTCATGTTAAAAAGTAAGAATTAGTTTTCAAAACAATAAACAACTCATATTCTATTTGTAATTTTTCGTATTTGTATTGATATGTAAGTTTCGAAATTAGCAAATTTCAGTATTTTAATATGTTAGTTAAAAGGAACGGAAACAATTATCTTTGGACCAATCGTTTCCCGCAATAATCAACTTTTGCTAGAGGCGCCATCTAGTGGAGGTGTAATTAAGTGCTTTTTTTTTTCTTGAATACTTTCTCATTCCGCCAATGTCATGTTTGCGGTTTTTACACGTAAAGAAACAATAAATTAAAAGTTGATGCCACAATCGCAGACGCAACCCCGTCTGCGATTGATAACTTCGAATTTGGCAAGTCGAACTGGGGAACGTGTGTGCTCCCCAGTTCGACTTGCCATGTGACACGTCCAATTCGACAATTACTTGTAATAGTTTTTTTTTATTTCAAACTTCTCCTTAAAGAACCAGGGGGTACTGGGGATACTTTTCTGAATGTCAAAATAATACTTTCCCACTCATGACCTCATCTTCTTCTTCTTCTTTTTAATTCATGGCCTATTTGCATTTACACAATTCCGCCAATGTCACGTTTGTGGTCTTTACACGTATAGAAACAATAATAAAATATGTAAAATTTTGAATTTAAATAAAATAAAAAAAATAGCTCTGAGCGCGTCTATCTGATTACATTGTTAAAAATAATACAAATAGAATGTATATAGAAAACAAATATATTTATAAATTAAGACTATTATTGATTGCAAAGAATTTTGCTAAAATTTTGAATGGGCTGGGATTCTCCATACTCAAGATACATTTTATATTTGTTGGACGTGGAACTTTTGATGGTAGCAAATCATAAAGCGAAATGGATAAATTTGAACAATTAAATAAAATATGATCCGTAGTTCCTTCCTCAATGCCACAATCGCAGAGACCTCATCAAATATTCATGTGCAATGACATCAAAGAGATCGAAATTAGACCGAAAAACTTAGGAAAAACCAACCTGTCATTTTGACATTAGGTATGTTCTCCTTATTCTTTTTAGTTATAGGCCTTGCCCTTATGGATTTCGCTAAATCTAGTGTTTTGCTAAGTTTATTTCTGATATAGTACTCTTTCGTCATCTCTAGATATCTATGATGTTTATCATTATTGTCATAGATTTTCTCTTGTCTTCTGATATTTTCCTATATGTATTTTATAAGCTGAATAAAACCTTTAATTCTCAAGGCTTGTCTTAATTATATAACAATTTATTCAGGTTATATGTAAAACACTATTTTCAAAATGTCTATAGAAAAAGTCGAAAAGGATTCCGGAAAACTCAAATCTAGTATGATGCGTTATCTACGACCAGATCGCTTTGAGGAGGAGCCAAATGTTCCAGCAGCAGATCTAAAATGAAAGCACTGGCGATTTACATTTGAGAATTTTCTATTTGAAGAATGTGGAAAGAATACTGAAGATTCTTTAAAGCTAAAGCTGTTAGTAAACCACATATCTCCAACTATCTATTCTTACATTCGTAATATCTCGACGTATTCGGAAGCTATAGAAACTTTAGAAAATACTTACATTAAACCTAAAAACGAAATACTTGCCCGTCATCTATTAATATCGCGAAGACAAAAATCGGGAGAATCTTTAAAGGAGTACGTACAATCCCTAAAATTATTAGCTCTTGGATGTAAATTCCAAGCTGTAACCGCTGAAGTTTACCAAAATGAAATGATACGTGAGGCATTTATTGCTGGAATCAATACCCAAAAAATAAGAGAAAGATTATTGGAAAAACTAAACCTTACCTTAGAAGAAGCCATGAATCTAGCCATGTCTTTAGAGGGCGCTGAGACTAATACTCAAGCCTTCACGAACGGGAACTCTTCTGTAAATCTCAACGCAGTACCAAGTTCGCCCGCTACCTTTTTGACTTCTCGCCAGAACAATAAAGGGCATATCACAAGACGTTGCTTCTTTTGTGGTGGAAACGTGCACCAGAGAATCAAGTGCCCAGCTCTTTCTGTGCTGAATGCCAGCTTTGCTCAAAAACAGATCATTTCGCTAATGTTTGTCGAAGCGGTCTGCCTCAAAGAGTAAATGCTGTAACTGAAAATGAGATGGAAGCAATTAAAAGTAAAGAAAATTTGTCTGTAATATTAGCTGCTTTACCAAATAGTCTCAGAAAGGCTATTGTATCTATTACTGTCAATGATTATCGAGCAGATGCATTAATCGATACAGGGAGTTCTGTGAGCTTTATAGATCGGAGCTTAGTACAAACTATGAAACTGAAGATGAAACCTAGTAGACAATCTATTACATTAGCCTCCTTAAGCCACACTTCTTTTGTCGATGGCCTTTGCTACGCTACAATCAAACTCCATGATTACCAGTACAAGCAACATCTTTTATTGATCGTGAATAGCTTATGCGCAGATGTCATCATCGGCCACGACTTACTCAAAAATCATTCTTTTTTGCACTTTGAATTCGGAGGTTCTATGCTTATCTTGATGACGTCACAATTTGTGGCATAGACAAAACCGATCATGACGCCAATCTCGCAAAATTCATGGAAGCGGTGGCCAAATATGCTCTCACACTAAATAAAGAAAAGTGTATTTTTGACACAAATACTATTAATCTCCTTGGGTATACAATTCAGGATAACATCATTAAATCCGATAAAAACCGTTTGAAGCCTCTGCTAGACTTACCGACTCCAAAAGATTCTTCCTCACTTAAAAAAGCACTCGGCCTCTTTGCTCATTACTCTAAATGGATACAAAATTTATCAGAAAAGGTAAAACCATTATTATCTATTGTCAATTTTCCATTATCTAAAGATTTATTTTTTATTTTTTTAATGATTTAAAAGCAACTATTGCTAAATCTTCCTTAGTGACGAATAATACTATTGACGAATCTGCTATGTTCACTGTCGAAACGGACGCTTCCGAAAATTCACTTGCCGCAATACTAACCCAGAACGGCCAGCCTATGGCTTTCTTTTCTTGATCGCTTAACGATTCTAAAAGAAGATAGTCTTCTATAGAGAAGGAAGCGGCAACCATCGTTGAATCGCTCCAGAAATAGCGTCATTATCTCATTGGAAGAAATTTTCTACTTGTTACTGATCAACAATCAGTCGCATTTATGTTCAA